GAAGGCAGACGCTTGACGACTGAGCCACCTAGGCGCCCGGAAATAGGATTTCTGTTCAGGACATGAATTCCATTTCATTTGGGACATGAATTTCATTGCCGGTAGAAGAATCATTCTTTTTATGCCAGATCTTACCCCACCCCCCCAAGGAGATAGTTCCTACCAATTTACTCAGCTCATCCTTTTAGTGATCTATAAGTACTTAGTGACTACTTTTCCCCCAAACAAAAACGACTTTGTAAAGGCTGTGTAGGTCTTCATGAAGAGCACAGGGAGCAACTGACTTCAGAAAACCATTTCTCTTTCCCTTAGGATTCTTTCTCCATTCTAGGAACTCTCCTGGTTTTCTAGGCTGGAGACTATTTGAGCAACCTGTGTTCTAGATAGAGTAGGAGTAGGTCACAGAGGTCCAGATGGATTGCTAGGAGCCGGCACCCATATTAGACTGCTAATGATTTCATTCTGATGAATTCCTAATGGACTGGAGGGATGAATAAACTGACTTTTTTGCTTGTTACAAGAGATAAGCTTCTAGGGAAGGGACTAGAGCCTGGTATCTGGAGTTGGCTGTAGCCTAATGGGACAGGCTTTGCCTCGTCAAAAGGTGTAATTGGAATTCAGTCTGGAAGCTGTGAATGGAGGGACCCTATAACTGCCTCCTTCCTAGGCCCAGACTATTCTCTTGGAAGTTGGAGGACACAGTACACAAAATTAAAGGTACTGGTGGTGGCTTCACTGGGCTATGTCCTGATGTGCTTTCTGTGCTCAGGTGTGTTCTAAGCACATATACTGGATTGGGAACTCCAGGAGGGTAGAGGTAATATCTAATTTATCTGTGGAAACAGTGAATGTCTAGGCCCTGACACAAAGTACACATTTAGTAATTGAATTGAATCACATTCCAGTGTAAACATAAATGGTTAAGCATATATATGGATATTTAGTAATTTTTGTATACTCACGTGTGGACACTTTTTTTTTTTTAAGAGAGGTTGGCTTCTTAGTCTCTCCTTACTGGACAGCTAACCCAGCCTTGAGTTTGTGTTTTGAATAGGCAGTCTGGCTCCCAAGGAGGTATGTGGGCCTCAAAACTGCAGGGAAGGAATCCCTGAGCCAGGCCTTTCAGCTCTGTTACTTTTCCTTCTCAGGGCTGGTTGGGGATGGGGGAGGGGGAGTGTCCTTTTCATGGCCCCTCCCTCCTTGCTTTTGTCTGCAAGGAAGGGCCCCGCCCCTTTCCCCCAAGGCCCAAGCTTTGTCCTCAGTGCTGGGGCCCTCATCTGCATCACAAAGTGGCCGTCTGTCCCTGTCTGGGTTTGAAGGGAAGTGTCTCCCTTTCTCAGACTAAAAGCTGGGGGCAGGGTGGAGTAACGAGGTGGGGGAACTTTGTACAGCTCTAAGGCTTGCAGGGGGATGGGTTGTGAGAGAGGTTCTCCCTTTTGCCTTCCCTAGTTTGGGGATGAAGGGGAAGGTGGGGGTTCCCCTGTTTTCCCAAAGCCTCCTTGGAGTGGAGGGTGCCTAAGGCTGAATTTGATGTGTGGTCCTATTTCTGGGGAAGGGAAGCCTTTGAGGTTAGAGTGTTTGTCCCATCCCCCATCATTTCTACCCACCCCCGAGCTCTAGGGGATGTCTTTTTCCCAAGAATTCAAACGATTATTCAGCCTGGAAGGCTAAGGAGGTGAATGGAATGTAAAAACTTGGGGAGGGGAAGGGTATCTCTTATATCCACCAGGTTGTTTATCTTGTGCAGGGTTTATAACTGTGTTTGAGCAGTTTGCAGGTGTTTGTGTGCTGTGTATGCATGTGTGTTCTTTGTGATGTATCTGTGGATCTTTTTGTTCATTCATTTAATATCTGTATGTTGAACACCTCCTATATGCTAGGAGGCAAGATACAGTCCCTGCTCTTGAAGAACTCACCATCTAGGGCAGTGAGGGGTATGTATATAAAGGTAAACTATCTAGGTCTAAGTGTGTGTTTGGGTGTGTATGACAGGAATGTGTCTCCCTATGTGTTTGCATCTATCTGTTGCTTGTGTGCAATTTCTGTCCAGCTCTTTCTGGGGTAGGTACCCAGGTGCTAGTAGTTAGGCTTTCACTTCCCCATGTAGCTGAGTCCTTGAAGGCCTTTTCCGCCCAGGCTGAGCCTCCATTTCTGTCTGCGTTTCCCTGTCTGCAGAGTGGGGCTGGGCTTGACAGGTGGTTAGAAGGAGATGTAGCAGCTTAGCTCTGGGAAGCATGCCCCTCCCGTGAATGGTTCTGACCTCTTCCTGACCCCCCAGCTGAGGATATGCCCCATCCCCCAGCCTGGCGGACTGTGAAAGCAGAGCTACTGATGGGAGGTTCTGGGCTGGTTTATCCCTCTCTCCTCCCACCTGGGCTGGTCCTCTACTGGCAAGGACAATAGTAGCTATGGACAAAGGCTTCTCTTAGTGTCCCTTTTTCCTCCCTTTCCCCTCAAGCTAGAAAATAAAACTAGGGGCAGCAAGCTAGCTGGTGGCAAGAGAGGAGAAAGTAGTAGAAGCTGGCTCTGCCCTAGCCTTTTCCCAGGGGCCTGCTCTATCTTGAAATTGATCCCTTCTTTTACTATCTGTGCTTTCTGTGTGGAAGGAAATGTGGCTGTGCAGAGTACCTTATTCTCCTTCTCAGAGCCAGTATCTCATTCTTCTCCAGCATGCTAATGGCTGCCTCTCCTTCCCAAGTCCTCTACTCTAGCCTATTCATGGCTCATTCTCCTGTCTTCTTCCTGTCTTCATTCCCTAGCTTTTTCTTCTTCTGAACTTTTTCTTGTCTCCCCAATTGCAGCCTTGCTTCTTGCTCAAGCTCCCAATTCTAACCTATATGTTGCCCAGTCCTTAACTCCAGCCTTCCCTCCTTCCTCGATCAAGCCTCTTTCTGCTGTGATTTCCAGTTGTGGTGTCTTTGTCAGCTCCCTGTTTCAGCCTCTCTCCTTTCTTTTGTCTCCAAACTTTACTTTTTAAGCCTTTTCTACTTTTCTGTCTCTCCAACCTCAGCCATTCAGTTGCCTTAATCCTTTCTAAAACATTGTCTCTCTCACATCCCCCTAGCCTGACCTTTGGATCTTCCTCCTGCCTACATTGTATAGGAGCATTAAGATGTTGCTATTTCATGTTCAGGATGGTGATGAGTGAAGTGAGCATCTGGCTGGCAGAGAAGAGAAGCATACTTGGTCTGCTAGATACCTGGTGGAGGCAGGTGTCTTAATCTAGTACAAGAAAGAAAGTTTTATTATTGGGAGCCAGATTTAGTTCCTCTACTTAACATGTAATAGAAATGTATTAAGTATTCACTTGATGAATTGAAGAGAGACAAGAAGGATAATTTTCCTAACTGGAGAGAGGTTTGAAAAAAATGAATGTGGGTTGTCTGAGCCAGTGGAACCCCTCATTTGGGTTGGGTAGGCAGGAAAGAGCCTTCCCCTATACTCTGCTGTTCCTGTTCTGGGAGGCCTTGTGCCTTCTCTGATCAGAATGATAAGGAGATTGCTAGACTCTGCCCTCACCAGCCTCTTTATCTTGTAGCTGCGGGCGCCTACCTGCCCCCCCTGCAGCAGGTGTTCCAGGCACCTCGCCGGCCTGGCATTGGCACTGTGGGGAAACCAATCAAGCTCCTGGCCAATTACTTTGAGGTGGACATCCCTAAGATTGACGTCTACCACTACGAGGTGGATATCAAGCCGGATAAGTGTCCTCGCAGAGTCAACCGGTAAGTGATGGACATCTAAGCTACGATGTCCAGGAGTCTTTACTTTCCTGAGTCTCAGAATCTTCAAAGAGTATCCAGAGAAAACTGGTAGAGGGTGGTATCACCAGATTCAAGGAAGTTTTTGAGGAGGAGATTCCAGGTAAGGTAAACACTGAAAAATATCATTGAATTTGGCTACTAGGAGAGAATTGGTGCCTTTTGCAAAGCAGTTTCAGCAGAGTAGTTGGGCTAGTAATCTAACTACAGTGAGTTGAGGAATAAGTAGAAGGTAAAGTGGTAGGGATAGTGAGATCAGTTAGCCTTTTCTAAATAGCTTGACAGTGAAGCATGAGGAGAGAGAGAATATGTTGGTTAGAGAGGATTTATAGGGGTCAAGTACAATGCATTGCACATTGCAATATTTGTTAAAATGAATGAATGGAAAGTTTTTAAGAATGAGACATGGATATGCTTATAAACAGGAGAAGAAGCTAGTTAAAGGTACAGGACAGAAAGAAGAGGAATGCGTTCCCACTCATTGCTAAGGCAGGAAGACATTACAGGACACATAGTTGGAGGAATTAGCCTTAGAGGAAACAATATTTCTTTCTTTTTGTTTTTTTAAAGATTTTATTTTTAAGTAATCTCTATACCCAACATGGACCTCAGACTCACAACCCCAAGAACAAGAGTCACATTCTCTTGCGACTAAGCCATCTGGGTGCCCCGAAGCAATATTTCTTTTCAAAATTAATTTATTTCATTATTACTTGAAAACTACATATGCACAAAATAAAAATAAATAAATAAAATATTACAAAAAGAGCAGCAGTGAAAAATATCTCCTGTTACCCTGGTCTCCAGTCCCCTAGTCCCTTTCCCTAGAGGCATTCATTGTTACCATTCTTGAGTATGTTTCCATATATTTTTGTTTGCATATGCAAGCATATGTGTATATAAAACATTTTTAAAACGCACAAAATAGGGGCGCTGGGGTGGCTCAATTGGTTAAGTGTCTGCCTTCGGCTCATGTCATGATCTCAGGGTCCTGGGATTGAGCCCCGCATTGGGCTCCTTGCTCAGTGGGGAGCCTGCTTCTCCGTCTCCTTCTGCCGCTCCCCCTGCTTGTGTTCTCTCACTCTCTCTCTCTAAATAAATAAATAAAATCTTTAAAAAAAAAAACAACTCACAAAATATAGAATTCTATATGCCTTGTTCTGTACCTTTTTTCCACTGAACAGTATATATCAGATCATGCATATCTGCCTCAGTCTTTTGCATTGCTCGATAGATATGCCATTGAATGGATGTATTATAACTTATTTAATAAATCTATTGAGGAACACTTAGCTTTAACCTAACCTTTTGCTACAAAAAGTGAAACTGTTGAATATTATTAAATGTAGATACATTTTTGCACTCAAATATGAGTGTATCTATAGGATAAATTCCTAGGAGTAGAATTGCTGACATAATACATTGAAAAATTTGGAGATATTACCAGTTGTTTTTTTTTTTTTTAAGGTAAGTTGTACCAATTTATACTCCCATCATCAGAGTATCAGTGCCTCTTCCCCTGTCTGTACCAGTCCAGTGTATTGGATTTTTTGACCTTTGGAATTCTGATAAGTAGAAAATTATATCTTGGGCTAATTTTACTTACTTATTTTTTAATTTTTTTAAAGTAAGCTCTGTGCCCAGCGTGGGGCTTGAACTCACAACCCTGAGATCAAGAGTTGCTTGCTGTACCAATTGAGCCAGCCAGGTGCCCCAATCTTGGTTTAATTTTAAATTCTGTTTCTCTATTGAGTGAAGTTGAACAAATTTTCATTTATTTATTTATTTATTTTAAAGATTTTATTTATTTGACAGAGAAATAGAGAGCACAATTAGGCAGAGCAGCAGGCAGAGAGAGAAGGAGAAGCAGGCTCTCTGCTGAGCAGGGAGCCCGATGCGGGGCTCCATCCCAGGACCCTGGGATCATGACCTGAGCCAAAGGCAGATGCTTAACCGACTGAGCTACCCAGGCGCCCCAAATTTTCATATATTTAAAAATTAAATATGAAAGGGACATTTCAAGTGTGAGGGGAAAAGAAAAGAGGGGTACATATATAAATATGTTTATTCGTATGTCTGGGAACTTGAAGGTGGCCTTGCCTATCTTGTGCTCTCTTTTTAGAGTCATTAGAGTTGATTTTTGATTGGAGGTAGGAATGGGTTCTGCAGTTAGAGGGTAGAGGAGAAAGTTTGACACAGTCTATGAGGGATGGAACTGATCAGGGATATGGAAAAGATTGCTTGGTAGGACTAAAGCCTAGTTGGGATTGAAACCATGTGTTTACAGTTATTTACAATGTATAATTTGAGTTTTTTAAATCCAGTAGTATTCAAGAGCTTTGAAAGTGAAGAAATCAGATAGTTGGATGGAATGGTATTTTGAAGGATAAATGGACATTCTGGGATCTTAGTGGCAGAGGAGAGGAAGTGAAATCAAGAAAGAGATGATAACGGAGTGATAATGGGGTGGTGGGACTAAGGGCTTCAGAGAGATGGAAGAGATGGGGTTCTTCTTCCACAGTTTACTCCTATTCCAATTCATATCTTTTCCTCATCTACCTTCTTTATGTCTCAGCTTGGGGATTGGAGCAGCCTGGATTTTGTTCCTGATTCTAGATAGACCCTGGGAATGAGTGCTTTTCCTCTCTGTGCTGTCCCCCCTCCCCCCACCCCCGCTCAGAAGGCACATGTACCTACTCTTTCAGATCCTTTAGAGCCTTGGTGATCTGAGAACCAGAAGCATCACTTGATAGCTTGTTAGAACTGTAGAATTTCAGGCTTTGCTCTAGACCTGAATTAGAATCTGCATTTTAATAAAATATCCAGGTGATTCATATGAATGTTGACGTTTGAGAAGCACTACCATAGAGTAGATGAGATTAGAGTAGCTGCTAGGAGGGGATGGACATTACCTGAACATCGAATTGCTTCCAAAAGCTTGAAGTAGTAGTCTCTCAGCTCCTATAGGCTGCTCCTATCCCCCACAGGGAAGTGGTGGAATACATGGTCCAGCATTTCAAGCCTCAGATCTTTGGTGATCGCAAGCCCGTGTATGATGGAAAGAAGAACATTTACACTGTCACAGCACTGCCCATTGGCAATGAACGGGTAAGCTGGGAGTCAGGCTAGACCTGTGTCAGGTGTCTGGGGTGGTACAGAACTCATATAAGCCTATTTGGAGTCTGGCAGTCCAGAAATTCCTTTCATCTTTTATGATGAGCAAGTGTGTTTTAGGGTGAGGGATGGGTAGATGCTGATGTTTATTTAGCCTAGTGTATGTCCCTGTCCCAAACAGACTGAGATAAGACTTAAAACAGACCTAAAGGACTTCTGCTAAGTTGAGAAGGATAGAAGTACTGAGCTAAGGTACCTAGAGACTAAATGTCTGGATTTCATCTGAAATCTTCTTTGTGAGCCCCTGTCAGTTTAAGGAGCAGGTGCTTGGCAAATCTGTGTGGTGCGGGACAGCTGGGACAGGGCAAGGAATGTTGGACTGTGGGAAGGCATTGGCAATCTTTCACTCCTTTCCTCTGAAGGTTGACTTTGAGGTGACAATCCCTGGGGAAGGGAAGGATCGAATCTTCAAGGTCTCCATCAAGTGGCTGGCTATTGTTAGCTGGCGCATGCTGCATGAGGCCCTGGTCAGTGGCCAGATCCCTGTTCCCTTGGAGTCCGTGCAAGCCCTGGATGTGGCCATGAGGCACCTGGCATCCATGAGGTACTGGGTTTAGTTAGTATCTGGGCAACTAGTGGTGGCAGAATTGCTATGCAGGGAGGTGGGGAATGAGCACATACTAAGGTCCCACAGTATGCCTTTCAAATAAAGCATTCATTGAAGCCCTACCATATGCCAAGCAGTGTGCATATACATTTAGGTGGTTTAAAGCCTTGGCCCTGGCCCTTATAGATATCTTTGGACCTTCACCCCATCTGTCCCTGCAGGACAGAGAAAAGATAGACTTGCACAAGGTCAGTCATACAACTAGTAAAGGATCAGAGCTGGAATTAAAGCCCTGGTGTCCTGCCTTCCAGGCCAGGGCTCCTCCGTGCCCAGGATGCCTCACAGGGTGGGGGCCTGTGCCCGAGGGACCAGTTCTCTGCCTGTCCCTGCCAGGTACACCCCCGTGGGCCGCTCCTTCTTCTCACCGCCTGAGGGCTACTACCACCCGCTGGGGGGTGGGCGCGAGGTCTGGTTCGGCTTTCACCAGTCTGTGCGCCCTGCCATGTGGAAGATGATGCTCAACATTGATGGTGAGTGGGGAGAGCTATGGAGCCAGGGGCACCCTGAGTCCAGTGACCACACTCCCAGCCTCATCCCTCCCAGCTCTGCAACCATACTCCTAGTCTAATCCCTATAGCCCTGGGACCCCTCTCCCATCCCAATACCCTATAAGGAAGAGGGTGTGAAGAGCAGTGCCTCCATTTATTCTGGAAGACCAAACCTGAGCTGAGCTATACCTGCCCTGTCCCCACAGTCTCAGCCACTGCCTTCTACAAGGCACAGCCGGTGATTGAGTTCATGTGTGAGGTGCTGGACATCAGGAACATAGATGAGCAGCCCAAGTCCCTCACAGACTCTCAGCGTGTGCGTTTCACCAAGGAGATCAAAGGTGAGGACCCAACCAAGTGGGGAAGGGAAACAGCACCATTTTGTCTTTAGTCCTACTTGGGATATGTCCAGGGGAGAGGCCAAGCCTGGGCGCATGAGCAGCCTTTTCCAACCCTGACAAGCAGTGTGTGTATCCCAGGCCTAAAGGTGGAAGTGACCCACTGTGGACAGATGAAGAGGAAATACCGTGTGTGTAATGTTACCCGCCGCCCTGCCAGCCATCAGACGTGAGTTGACAGGCTGCTAAGCCATACCTTGATAGAAGAGGGCTGATATTTCAACATACTTCTTTCACTCCCCTCTCTCTCCCCAAGTCCTACCAGCCCTGAGGATGAGCCCTGTTTTCAAAAATAAGCTGTGGGAGTTTGGTATCCCTCCTCCAGACTTTCCAGATCCTTAATACTCTCCTTAATGTTTTTACCTTCTTGGTCTCCACCTTTCCTCCTTGGGCCTTTACTGTAGAACAGGAGTCTTCTCCGGACTGCTGTCTCAGTTCTGTAAATGTTAGGATCTCTCACAACTTATTCTTCCTCCTGAAAAAGAAAGCAGGGCTCCTGGGCTAGACCTTGGGGAAACTGTCATTGATTCCATCTATTTTCTTGACCTCAGACTACTGGACTATGAGTACCTGCTGTGTGTTGGACTTTATGCTCAGCCTTAGAAATGCATATGTCAGATATGGTCTTGAATGTTGTGGAACTTGCCTCTCAAATCTTTTGTCTTCACTCTGGGAGCTGTGTATTGCCTGCTTTCCCATGAGTGGCAGTGCTCAAAGAGGCTGGATAGGGATGAAGCCAAGTCTGGGGCTTCCCATGGTTGTAAGCCTAAAGAGTTGGGATTAAATGCTGGGCTCTGACACTTCTTTCCCTTTCCCCAAACAGGTTTCCCTTGCAGCTGGAGAGTGGACAGACTGTGGAGTGCACAGTGGCACAGTATTTCAAGCAGAAATATAACCTTCAGCTCAAGTATCCCCATCTGCCCTGCCTGCAAGTTGGCCAGGAACAAAAGCATACCTACCTGCCCTTAGAGGTGAGGCTGCCAAGTAATGGCTGGGTTGGAGAACAAACATTGTACCTGCACACTGATATGAGAGGTCTGTTCTTCCATTCGTAGTCTCTCGTTCTCATTTTGAAGTTTGGAAAATTGACGTTCTGAGAGGTATGAGGTCATTCTGTGAATTGTAGGCCTCATTCTTACCTGCTAATTTCTTTCGTTATTCCCCATCCTGCTCTCATGTTCTTTTAGGACTGCCAGGCAAAGGTGAAAGCTGTATTTATGTTTAATAAATAAGTAGTTTGTTCGTGACAGATTTCAGATATCCACATTCATTTTAATTTTTATTTCTCTTACCCTGTCTTAACTTTTAATTTTTTTTACCTGCAGCTGGGGATCCTAAATGACCTAGAGATACAAGTATACTTATTTTCCAGAAAATGGGAGATACCTGTTAGCTATAATGTGAATCCTATTCATGTTATCAATGTGATGATCAATGTGTTCCTTTTGAAAAGGTTTTAGGCCCAAGATTTATCATAGTTTTATGCTTTAGCAGACCTTTAAAATCCTGCAGTTAAAGAACAGAAATGCTGTTTAAGTCATAGAATATAAATGCAGAACCATTGGGGTATATTTGATTTGGTATACACTAGCCAAAATGTCTAATGAGAGACTACTGCTGACTTCTTCATTGTTTAGTCCAGTACTATTCCAGGTGTGGTCAGTAAGAGCAACAAGTATTACTTGAGTGGGACTTGTTTGAAATGCGGCATCTCAGGTTCCACCTAGAACTATTGAATCAAAATCGTCTTTTAACAGAATCCAAAGAGGATTCATATGAACATTACAGTTGGAGAAGCACTAACCTAGACTAACATCTTGCTCTGTTTCCACAGCAGGAGTCAGATAGCTGGGACCAAAGCTCAAGCCTTCCGTGAGCTTCTGGGATTTCAGAACTAACCAGGGGGAATTAGGCTGAGGGGAGATAAGATCCCAATACCTAAGAACTCTGATTTTGGTTAATAGCTGTTGATGCATGGAAAGTGGGATGAAGACAGTATGTTCTCTTGAAGTGTAAAAAGGAGTCTTCAGGGACAATCCCAGCTAAGTAGATAGGCTTTAGTTAATATCTACTGCAAGCTAAGATTTTTAGCAAATTAACATTACTTCTGTTCAAGCATTAGTTTCCAAGGTGAATAATTTACATAATGACATATTTTTATTCTTATTATCATTTGTTTATTTAACAAATATTAATTGAGCTCATGCTGTGTGTCATATGCTCTTTTAGGTGCTGGAAATGCAGAGATTAACAAGACAGAGAAGGTCCCTGCTGTCGTGGAGCTTACATTCTAGAAGGGGGAGATAGACAATAAATAAATAAGATAGTTTCAGATAGTTGTAAGTGGTATAAGAATAATAAAACAGATTAAGGGGACAGAAGTAAGGGAGGAGGGGTTTGAAGAGCCACTTTAGTTATTATGGTCAGGGAGGGTCTCTTTTAGGAGACATTTGAGTCCTAAATTATGATAGAAACAACCTTTAATAACTTGAGGGAAGATCCTTCCAGGCAGGAAGTAAATAGTAAGTACAAAGTCTCTAAAGCAGCAAGGAGCTTGGATTTCTTAAGAGATAAGAAGGCCATAGTGGCTGGTGTGTAGTGTATGAGGGGAAAAGCAATAGGGGATGATTTCAGAGAGAAGTGCAGGGTCTAATCATGTAGGCTATTATAGCCAGGTGGGACTTTTTTTTGTTTTGTTTTGCTTTTTAGAATAACTTTATCAAGATATAATTCACATACCATAAAATTTACCGTCTTAAAATGTACAATTCAGTGGTTTTTAGTATGTTCAGAGTTGTATAACCATTACCATTATCTAATTCTAAAACATTTCGTCATCTCCAGAAGAAAACCTATACCCATTAGTAGTCACTTACACTCCGCCTCGCCACGAATCAGCCCTTAGTAATCACTAATCTATTTCTGTCTTTGTGCATTTGTCTATTCTGGACATTTCATATGAATAGAATTATATAATATGTGGCTTTTTTTGACTGGCATATTCCACTTAGCGTAATGTCTTCAAGGTTCATTATATTGTAGCATGTGTCAGAATTTTCTTCCTTTTTAAGACTAAATACTATTTTCTTGTACATATATACCACATTTTTTTATCCATTCATTCATTCATTGATGGATACACTTAGGTTGCTTCCACTTTTTTAGCTATAATGAATAATGCTATGAATATAGGTGTACAGATATTTGTTCTAGTCCCTGCTTTCATTTCTTTTGAGTACATACTCAGATATGGATTCACTGAATCATATCGTAATTATGTGTTTAATTTTTTGAGGAATCACCATACTGTTTTCCACAGTGGCTGTACTATTTCACATTCTCATCAGTAATGCACAGGGTTCCAATTTCTCCACATGCCTGCTTTAGTTTTTTCCTAATGTTGATTCTGTAGCTGAAATTATCTGTCAAGAGTGCTACAACTTTAAGGTGCTTTTAGGAGGGCAACCTCCTAAATTAACAATTCTGGATTTTTATTAATTGAATCAACTAATTTGTATATTCTTTGGGATATGGAATTTAAGAGCAGGTGACCTTGTTCTGGTTTTACCTACCATTTTTCAAAATAGAATTTGGAAATTAGGAGGAAAACCAGTACTTACATAGTGTTGGCCCTGTGGGAACAAATTATGTATTTCATTTTGTCTACCTCCTCACAACAACCTCATAGACAGCTAGTGTTTTATCCCATGACTGAAATTAAAGAAGCAGGGTCTCAGAGTAGTTAAGGGACCTGCCCAAGGTAATATCACCTAGAAATGGCAAAGCTGGACTTCAAACTCAAGCCTTCCCAACCTACTGGCTTTCTCTATACTCTGCCAACAGACTTCCTGTTCATAGCATCCTGAATGTAGTATATTGGGGAATGGAAGTCTTGTATTTTACTAGAAAGTCTTTTCTGATTTCCACTGTGTTCTCTTGGGCCTAAAACAGGAATGCATGGCAGGATGTCCCTCACACCAATAGAGGACGCTGTCAGACAACACAGACTGATTTTAGGGCTTAGTGATCATCTGTAGGCTGGGGCTCAAGAGTTAAGAGCCATCTCCAGTTCTCCTGGTGGGTTGCAGAGGAGCAACTGACTGCTTGTCACCATTTAAGAGGGCTATCTACTACCTTAGGAATCCAGTTTGTGTGTATTGAGTTTTTTAGTATCCAGAAGAGCTCTATACTGGGTCCTTTGGTAAATAATAATTTATGCTAGAGTTTACTGAGTGTTTACTGTGTTCCAGAACTGTACACAGTCCTTTAAGTGCTTTATTTTATTTAGTCTCTGAACAACCCTATGAGATTGTTACTGTTCTTCCCAGTTAACATGAGACCTGAGCCCAGATCTGGCTCTGGATCCCAATCTGTTAATGACAAAGTGGCTATATTGCCTTTTGTATTGCACATGGATATTTTCTAACTTACCTGTCTCTGCACAAGAGATTTTGCAGTCCCCTTCCCAGGGCTGACAGCCAAGGTCTCTTCCCTTATTGTGGGGCTCTGGGTACAGGGTGGACTGTACTCAAGCCAGAGCTACCTGTCCTTCTCGTTTCCTCAGGTCTGTAACATTGTGGCTGGGCAGCGCTGCATTAAGAAGTTGACCGACAACCAGACTTCGACCATGATAAAGGCTACAGCTAGGTCGGCCCCAGACAGACAGGAGGAGATTAGCCGCCTGGTCAGTAGGGCTGCAGAGAAATGTATGCTTGGTTGCTCAGTCATTGGGGCCCCTGGTAGCATAGATGCTTTTCTGCCTTGGCAGGATCCTCAGGAGAACACAAGTCTGGATTTGTTGCCTGGGATTCCATAGGACTGCTCTTGCTCTTGACCCTGTAGCTACTTGGCTTCCTATTTCTTTTTCCCTCCTGTATTACTTCCCTGTGTTATCCACTCCCGCTTACTTCACTTTCCACTTTCCCACCTTTTTTTAGGGCTATTACTTGCCAGCCCCAGCTGCTCTTCAGGGCTTTCTCCTTGGGACCCAGAGGGTGAGCAGTATTGCCAAGCTGCTACTCTCCTGAGATCCCCTTCTTTTGTCTTGCAGATGAAGAATGCCAGCTATAATCTAGATCCCTACATCCAGGAATTTGGGATCAAAGTGAAGGATGACATGACGGAGGTGACGGGGCGAGTGCTGCCGGCCCCCATCTTGCAGTACGGCGGCCGGGTGAGCAGGGTCAGGGCCAGACAACATCTCTAGGGCATATGGGAGGGGGGAATTGGGTTTATATAACCAGGGGCTTTTGCTCCCCTACTCACCTGGCTCTGCTGAGGCTCACCTGGGCAACCCCTCTGCCTATCCCCAGAACCGGGCCATTGCCACACCTAATCAGGGTGTCTGGGACATGCGGGGGAAACAGTTCTACAATGGGATTGAGATCAAAGTCTGGGCCATCGCCTGCTTCGCACCCCAAAAACAGTGTCGAGAAGAGGTGCTCAAGTAAGGAGGGTTGGGTGTATGGGTGGAAGGGTGGGAAGGACCCTAGCTGCCTACCTTCCCCTACCCACAAGGGACCAAGATTTGATCTGTGGTCTCTTCTTTCTGACTCTTGACCCTGCTTCCCTGTGCTTCCTGGCTCAAACTTCTGCCTGTTCCTTTTCTGTCCATCTGTGGTCAGAAGTCTTGATAAGAAGCTGTATTTGTGTCAGAAATGATGATTTCAGGACATGAATCTCCTAAGGGAGGCCTGAATTATTTTATTGTTATAATTACTAACATTGGTAGTAAATAGTATAGTGATGACTATAATGTTGCACCAACACTCTATCTAATTTTATGTTCTCTCATTTCATCTTCACAGTGAGTAGGTGGTGGTATTTCCATTTTCAGGAGACTGAGACTCAAAGAGTACCTTGTACAAGGTTTACATATCAGGAAAGTGTCAGAGTTGGGATCAAATCAGATCTGAGGCTTCAAAGCTTATATTCCTCATTGGAAACAAAAGCTCAGCTGGTTCTCTGCACTGTCTTCTCCTGTATTATATACAGAATTTGTTCATTCAGGTCCAAGTGACCTGAATTAGATGAACATGAGTTGTAAGGGCCTCTTAGCTTACTTAGTGGCTGAGGGGCTAGGAACATATGACAGCAATGAAGAAAATGATATAGCCAGATGGTTTAAAGGAACACATTAGGGGAGTAATGGTCTTGAGCAAATGAATGAATAGTAAAGTAACTGACCCTTCCCCTGCAGTCTTTTTTTTATTGAGATATTTCAAATACCACAAAATTAACCCATTTAAAGTGTATGGTTAAGTAGTTCCTGTAGTCTTTTGATGTGGTCACTTCTTATTCTCTTTGGATCTAGAGTAGGGTCAAAGGATCAATGCCCACCTAGGCTGAGGAAGAGTTGGTGGAGCTGACCACTTTAGGTATTGACAAGGATAATAAAGCTGTGTGTTCTGGCAGGTTCAACTGGCCTTAGATTTTCATAAGAATTAGTTACAGCAGCACCTGATGAATGTAGGGACTCCGGCTGCCCTGCCTGTCCTTCTCCCCTCTCCCCTCATAGATACACAACTACCACCATCACACTTAATAGTTTCTTTTAAATGAGTTCCTCTTGTCCCCTTTCCTGGGTTTTGGGGATTTTAGCGCCATTTAGATTAGGCCACTCCTAGCCTTGGCCTAGCATTGGAGAGCTGGCCTTTAGCAATATTGGAAAGGCTCCCAGCTCTCTGCCTTTGTGTCAGCTTATTGGCTAGCTCTGTTCTCTGTATGCGTCTCTCATTCCCATGTTCTTTCCCTGTTCAGTTCTTTTGAGAAAATCCATTGTTTTTGATATTTTGGGGTACAGAAACTGATAAACCTAGAATCTCTGCATTGGGAGTCTATTCATCAGACATCCCCTTCTCCCAGTGATCCCCAGATGCAAGGGGTAAGAATATGACTTGTACACCTGGGTCAGTGGTACCCAGTTGGATGTTTGGTTCTGGGCTAAGGATTAAAATCGGAGTCTTCGGGTATGGCAGTGGATGAGATTGTCCAGGGAGAATGTACATGGTGAACAGAGGCTGAATATAAGAACTCTGAGAAACTGGAAAGGAAATAGAGCAAAGTTCCTAAGTGTGTGTGAGGGGATGGGATCCAGAGCACAGGAAAAGAGATAGAAGAGAGAAGTGAAGGTGGCTGTGGAGGTTGAGAAATTGGTAATTGGGCATGGATGAGGGAGTCCTATGGTCAACCCTCAGGATTTTTCTTCTGGCTAAAGAAGTTCTGTTACCTCCACCATATCACTTTTAGGAGAGTATTTCAAGATCTTCCCCATTCTAGACTTCTTTCAACACGTGGCCCCCAGCACAGAACACAGTATGCTAAGTATGATCTGGTGGTAGAGAAAAGATTGGGAATACCACTTTCTTTGAAGTAGAGACCCACTTAATTTGACTTACTAAATTTGATGTTCCTTTATATCCTCCATGCTAGTTCAGTTCCTCCCTCTAATGTAGCCACTGTCATGAACTACTATGATCTTCCATCTAATTTATATGTTTTATACACCTATATACAAATGATTTAAATTTTATTTTTAAGATTTAGTTATTTATTTTAGAGAGACAGCACAGGGGTGGGGGGGGCGGGGAGGCGGGAAGGGGCAGAGGGAGAGGGAGAGAGAAGCCCAAGCAGACTCCAAGCTGAGTGTGGAGCCCAACATGGGGCTCAGTCTCACGACCCTGAGATCACAATCCAGCCAAAACCAAGAGTCAGAGTTCAACGGCCTGTGCCACCGAGGCACCCCTCAAGTGATTTTGTATTTTACATAATAGTATCATACTGTATTTATCTTGTGTTTACTTTTTGTTTCTTTACTAAATATGTGAAAAAATACTTATTTTCTCATAATATAGACTTTTGAATCTATCATACTGGTATTTATATGCTATAGAATGTCCCCTAAATAATTGCTTTTATTCCCTATTTGTATATTGCTTTTAATCTAAATGTAGGATTTTCACAAGTTAAATTTTCTGCTATTTATTTCAGTCTGTCATTGTACTCAGGTAGCTGGATTTTTTAAATCTACTGCATATGTATCATTTCTTCCAACTTTCTCTTCCTTTCCTAGGGTAAAGCCCTAAAGCCAAAGGAAAGAAGCTTGTTTAATTATCTGCTCTTAGGCTTCAAAGAATCAGTAGGGGACGAGGGAGCTCATTTTTACTGAGCACCTCCTGTGCTCTGATCACTGTTGGAGCTTATTTTAATATGAGCAGAGGCCTTTCTCTTGGGCATTTGCCTGCTGCTACAGACTTAGTGCACAGAAATCAGCTACTTGAGTGGGACAAAGTGGGGACTCAGAATTCCCAGAGGTCCCTTCTCTGGGCTCCCTTGGCTCTCTGCTTATACCATTGAATACTTAGCAAGTGTGATTTTGTCCTACTCAGTTATAAATGTGTTTTTTTTTATACTGGCTGTGATCATGTCTCATTTATCTCCGAATGTCTCAGTGGCTGTCCTAGAGCTAGGTACCTAAGATGGAGGCATTTGTTCAGAGGTATTAAAGTGGGACTCACTGCCTCCTGTCATGACCATACTTGTGCTGCAGGAACTTCACAGACCAGCTGCGGAAGATTTCCAAGGATGCAGGGATGCCCATCCAGGGCCAGCCTTGCTTCTGCAAATATGCGCAGGGGGCAGACAGCGTGGAGCCCATGTTCCGGCATCTCAAGAACACCTACTCAGGGCTGCAGCTCATTATCGTCATCCTGCCAGGGAAGACGCCAGTGTATGGTACAGTTCTCTGGGGACAGTGATAATGAAGATAGGACTCTTCTCAGGGTAGCTCCCTGGAGGCTCCTAGGGAGGACTCTGTGGGTTCTTTGCTCTAGCCAGAGTTCTTCCTTAATATCAGTATTCCTTTTGAAGGAGAAATATTAGCCTGTATGAGCCATTGAGTTATCCTAGGTCCTGCTTACCTGCTCACACTCCATCCCAGTAATATTTACTGGGGTCCTCTGCATGCTGGTCTTTATGCCAGGCTAAGCTGAGCCAGATACACATATGTGTCAGTCCAGATTCCTTGGACTATCCCTAGGAGTGTGTTGACTGTCAGGACATTATGCAGCACACTCAAGCAGAATTTGTGGTGGTTCAGTAAGTGGTTTGTTGCCTGGGAATGACTTGGACTTTCTGAGAAGTTTTCTCTCTCTCCCACTTCTAAGAATAGGGATGATTATATATATCTCTGGCTCAATTCTTTTACTCTGTTTTCCCAGCACCTCTCCTGTTTCAAAAGAAGAGGTGTCCCTCCTCTTACCTTGTTCAACCCACGTATGCTCTTGTTCCCATCTCATCCTGCCACTTTTGGGACTTCATACCCCTTGACCCTCAAACTTGTTCAGATTCCCCATCCAAGAGTACATTACCACAATCATGCCATCTCCTTTAGCTTTTGTCTTCCTGTTTCTTGTTTTTCTTCATCATACTTTTTGAATGAGTTCTCCACATTTTCTAGACCCACTTCCTCACCAGCTGCTTACTACTTTGCCTCTTTCATCTGTCTTACCTCTAACTTTCTCCAAAACTTTCCCTGCAGAGAGCCATCTGTGACCTTTCTCACTTCTCTTCGCTTGACTTTCTCCTGTCTCTCTTTAATTATTTTTGTTATTACCAGATATGCCTGGTATTTTCCAGATTTCTATACCCTGCCTTCTCTATCTTTACATTCTAATGAAATTTTCATTTATTTCAGTTGCTTAAATCATCACCTCTTACTAATATATGTTATAATGTATTGTTAAATCTTGGTCCAACCCTTGACCTCTCCACTGTTCCCATCTGTCCCTTTGACCTTTCTCCCTTCTATAAGCATTTATTAATCACCTACTATGTGTAAAACACTGTGCTAGGTCATAAATACATTGGTGAATAAAACAGATGTAGTCTCTGCTCTTATAATGTGTTTTGATGGACATCTCTTTAGTAGCTTATCTTCTCTCTTTATCAGTAAGCTCTTCTCTTTACATCTTCTGTGTTTGGCATTGTAATTGCTTCTGGGTACCTTCATCCAAACTCTGGAGGCAGTGTTAACTTTGCTTCATCTCCATCATCATCTTTTTTACAGTCATAAGATCTGTTCTCTGCTCTCTACCCACACTTCTCAACTTAATTCTAACATTTTTTCTTAAATCTTTCTTGTATAAGAAAGGTTTTTCATTTACTGGATGAGACCTTTTGTAACTCTACTCCCAAAAAAACTTTCATTGGTATGAATTCACAAAATAAAAATTTTTCAGGGCCCTGATCTTAGTTTAATGTTTTCAGCTTTATCTTGTACTGTTCCCTTTGCCACACATACTGGGAAGATCACTTGTTCTGGAATTAGATAGAAATGGATTTTAATCCTGGCTATGCCAGTTTACTGATTTAGGCAAATTACCTAACCTTTCTGAGCCTCATGAATTAGTTATATAAAAAGCAACATCTAGCACAGTGCCTGGCACATAGTAGATACTCTAAATCTCATTTTTTCTTCTTTTTTTTTTTAAGATTTTATTTATTTATTCATGAGAGACAGAGAGGCAGAGGCAGAGGGAGAAGCAGGCTCCCGCAGAGCAGGGAGCCCAATGTGGGCCTCGATCCCAGGACCCTGGGATCATGACCTGAGCCAAAAGCAGATGCTTAATGGACTGAGCCACCCAGGCATCCTAAATGCTCATTTCTTGCCTGTGCTTTCTAATCTTTGGCTTTGTTTACATCATCTGCCTTTTTCTAGAATATCTACATACTCTTCTTTTTATCCCCCCATGTTGCCCTTAAAATTCTATCTGTCAAGTCTCAATTTAAGTGTACTTATTTCTGGAAGCCATCTCTTATCATCCTACCTAGAGGATAAATCTTTCTGGATACCTCTGGAAATTTTATCAGGCTGCTGATCAGTTACAACCTTCCTTGATATTATTTTGAGCATGGAGTAGATCTTATTTTGCTCTGAAACCTTCTTCCCCTCTGCACATACAAACTTAAAGTAAAGCCTTCCACTGACATGATACTCAGTAATTGCTTGTGGAAGGAAGTTGGTTGATCTCCAGTCCATGTCTCTGGGCCTTTATTGATAGCCCTTGGATGCAAAATAAGGATACATATTAGGAGAACTGCCTTGAGTAATTATCCACATTTCTGGTTCTCTCCATTAAGGGGAGAATCCAGTATTGGTTTACTTGGGGAATAGTATAGTACAGCATGCTGGGGGAAGGCAGTGCTTACTCAGAGAATTTCCCCCCATCCTGGGCTCAGTAATGCTATCCCTCTCTCCAGCCTTGATTAGGACCTTGGGTTTCTTCTACTTACGTTCTGTTCCTTGATTATATGCCACTTGGACAATGAAAACAATTGCCTAGGAATTAAGCCAGCAGATAAGAGGAGCAGTTAGATTCTTCTAAAGACCCTCACCTTGGGTGCCTGGGTGGCTCAGACGGTTAAGCGTCTGCCTTCGGCTCAGGTCATGATCCCAGGGTCCTGGGATCGAGTCCCGCATCGGGCTCTCTGCTCCTTGGGAGCCTGCTTCTCCCTCTGCTTCTCTCTCTCTCTGTCTCTCATGAATAAATAAATAAAATCTTTAAAAAAATAAATAAATAAAATAAAGACCCTCACCTTCCCTCCTTGGAGACCAAAGCAAGATCCAGTTGCATTGTGGTTGCCCTTAGAGTATAGAAGGACAGTGTCACATTTGTCCAGTTCTGATCTGGTACCACATCTCATCCTGTCCTTAGTATTTTTAATTCCTTCCTCTCCACTAAATTGATACAATTATCCTTTTTTTTTTTTTAATGTAAACTTTTTATTGTAGTATACATATAGAAATCTTAAGAGTTCAGGGGCGCCTGGGTGGTTAAGTGTCTGCCTTCGGCTCAGGTCATGATCCTGGGGTCCTGGGATCGAGCCCCACGTCGGGCTCCCTGCTCAGCGGGGAGCCTGCTTCTCCCTCTCCTCCCCACTCGTGCTCTCTGTCACTGTCTCTGTCTCTCTCTCTCAAAAAAAAAAAAAGCTTAAGAGTTCAGTTCAATGAATTTTTACAGAATGTCACAATAGGATAACCAGTACCCAGTTTTAGGAGCAAAACATTACCACAACCTCAGGCTGCCAGTCACTACAGCTCCCCATCAATGGTAATCACTATTTTGGCTTCTAATGCCATAGATTCGTTTTGACAGTCTTTGAACTTTATGTAAATGAATCATTTATTAGGTACTTTTTTTGTGTCTGGCTTTTACTCAACATTATGCTTATGAGATTCAACCATGTTTATTTAGTCGTAGTCTGTTACAGTTTTTCCATTAGATGAATATAACACAATTTACATGTATTTATCCATTCTACCATCGGTGGGCATATTTGTGTTGTTCCCAGTTTTACTGTTATAAATAAAGCCTCAGTGTACATTCTTGTACATATCCTTTGAACATATATACCCATTTCCACTGGGTGTGTATTTAGGAGGAATTTATTTATTTATTTATTTATTTTTAAAGATTTTATTTATTTGTCAGAGAGCTCAGGCAGAGGGTGAAGCAGGCTCCCAGCTGAGCAGGGAGCCTGATGCAGGGCTGGATCCCAGGACCCCTGGGATCATGACCTGAGTTGGAGGCAGACGCTTAACCTAGTGAGCCACCCAGGCGCCCCTCTAGGAGGAACTTTAGTGTATAGTTTATACTTCCACCAGCAGTGTATGAGAGTTCTAGATATTTTATATCCTTACCAAACTTGATATTGTCTCTTCCATTTTAACTGTTTTTGTGGTGTCTGGTGATATTGTGTTGTGCTTTTAATTTGATTTCTCTGAAGATTGATAAAATTGGGTATCTTTTTATATGTCTGTTGGCTATTTCACTAGGCTCTTTTGTAAAGTATCTACTCATGTCTTTCCCTTTTCTTTTTATTGCCTTAACTACCTTTTTCTTATTGATTAATTTATAGGTGATTTCTTACTGATTTATAATTCCTTCATTTAATATGTATGTGTATTATACATATATTCTCTGCTTTGTGACTTGCCTTTTTACTTTCTTAATGGAGTCTTTTGTTGAACAGAAATTCAAAATGTTAATGTAGTCCAATTTGTGTAACATTTTTTCTTTATGGCTAGTAAGTTCTGTGTCCTATTTAAGAAATCCGAAGATCGTAAGATGCTAGCTATGTTTTCTTTTTTTTTTTTTTTAAAGATTTTATTTATTTATTTGAGAGAGAATGAGAGAGAGCGAGCATGAGAGGGGGGAGGGTCAGAGGGAGAAGCAGACTCCCCACTGAGCAGGGAGCCTGATGCGGGGCTCCATCCCGGGACTCCAGGATCATGACCTGAGGCAAAGGCATTTGCTTAACCAACTGAGCCACCCAGGCACCCCTATGTTTTTTTTTTAAATGTGTGGTTTTTTTGTTTGTTTGTTTTTAACCTTTCACATTTAGAATTAGTCTGTCTCCTCCAGAAACTCTTGCTTTCTCCGTCCCCTGGCAGTGGTTCCTCTGCTGGTGCAAAGCCTAGAATCTCAGCCTCCTGCCCACACCTAGAATCAGCAAATGTACCCAGGGTAAAAGCAGCTGCAGAAGATAGCTCACCTTGGTGAGATTCTCTTCCTCTCTGGTGTTTTTGCCCCTTCAGTTCTCGTCTCAGCACCTCTCTTTTGCCTTCAAAAGATGATTTCTGTATTTTGTCTGGCTTTTCTGAATGTTATCTGCAGAAGCATTGGTTGGTCACTAACTACTCCATCTCTCTTGATAGTGGAAATGATCCTTTTAGCTTTTTCAACATGTTCAGGTC